TGAACCACCCGAAAGAACATGTTACTCTCTCACACAAGCACAACTACATTATCACATGGACCCAACTGCACTGCATCATTTCTCTCAGTGGCGGGTTTTCACTTCCCCTAACAGTTCAGAACACCGTGTGACGATCAGTGCATGTGAACAATAAAAAGAGTACCCAGAAATTTTTTCTTACTGCTTTACAAAGCACCGATACCTAGGACGGAACAAAAGAAGTATTAAGTACCGACAGAATGATTCGATGAACGGTTCTGCAGGCGATCGCGGCAGAAGAGTAATTGTAAACAATCAAAAGACACTAAGTGGTGGAAAAATGGGAACTAGGCAGAGCGGGTTACCAAGCGAGAACTCACCGGGATGTGGGGCTTTCGCCAGCCTGATTTCGACGTCCCGGACAGGATAAGAAAATTCCAGTGCGACGAACACATCCATCTACAATCGGGTGTAACTGGTCGAGTGCAACCAGGGTTTTGTGTTTTTGTACACGGGCGATATCGAATCCGATGTAGATCAAAGGTGGATCGCCNNGAGAATAGAAACAATAATACAGAAGAAATCCAAATGAAGTGTCACTGGGCGAACACAAGATTTTTCGAGTATTTGCTAACTTGGGGGTGACAATGACAGTCTGAGACAAACATTTGTTAATGAAGGGTTAAAATTACATTGTATCCGTCCATTCAAACAGGCGGTCGTTGGAGGTATTAGGCAACAGATGACGCATTTGCACACCATTTTCAACTCAACTGGGCACGAATATGGTGAAATAGACAGGTAGATGATGCAGAGATTAGCCAACCGCATAGAGATTCAAGTGCTGAATAATGATAGATAGCACGTACTGTGTTATTTCAACTAACTTTCCTTGATGTGTCACGTTTCCCAGGGCACGTGGATGAACGATCATGTTATCTTTTGGAACAGAAGGTCTGATCAGAAGGATGCATCAACCAGGTCCAACTGGGACCAACAGAACAGCTTTGATGATCAGTTAATCTTACTTGATTTTACTGTCATGATCTTGACTATAAGGTGCGAGATCCGAACCTTGACACGCTATTCAAATTTAGTGGGAGGCAGCAGTTGCACGGTTGACTAACGCACCTATAGCATCGAGACCATACGTAATACACTACCCCATGTTCCGAGTTCGAGTCACTGAATATAAAAACCAAGCAGTAGATCATCGTGACTACGTGGTTTATCACATTGAGGAGTGCAGTAAACATTAGGTTTATGGGCACTGGTAGAAAGAATTGAATGTCATAGGTGACATGGCTGGAGCATCTATCTATTTCTATCAAGTGTCTGACATCATCTGTCATATTCGACATTGGTCGCGTAGTTACCTGAACTGAAAATGAGAACTAATTGAACCAGAATCAAGAAAAAAACATTGAGAAACGAAAATCAGAATACATATGGGAGATAAAATATAACGGAGACATGTATTGGGATCCAGCAAAATAAGAGACAGCTTTACCTGAGACAAATAGGCTAGTCCACGTTCGTAACCCTCTGAAAGGGCCAATTCGAATCGACGTTTTTCTCGGCGTTTCATCAAATTGAACACGATGATTGGCGAGCCATAACGTTCGAAAAGGTTACGAAAATGGGCGCCAAATGCCTCATAATACGGGTCTTCACGCTATAATAGGAAGAGTGGATAATAACATCTGTGAAGTGCAGTAAACTTTCTGAAGACTACGAGAAAATATTTAGTTGCTCAAAGCATTGAATTCAGCAATGGTGAATTATCCACGAGAAATCTCTGGTGATACATACAGCCACATACACCAGAGCATTGTTCCTACATTATGGGCTAGTTTCCTTTTTCAAAGTCATTACTGTATCCCCTCCCCGTTGATTATCAGATAAGGTACTAGGCTTTTTTCCTGTTCCGATTGGGAGTTAATTAGACCTACTCCGGTTGATCTGACCTGCATAAACCGTATTCACGACCGTAGTTCTGGTCGCAACACATGCCAAAAGCACCACAAAATGAAAGGTAGATGTTGTGTGTTTGGCTTCTGTATGACAGCGAAATAAAAAGGGGAAAGCGTGAGACATAAAATCGCTAGTTAGACGATAAAAACATATCGGAACTGTCACCATTGGTGATGCATGACCGTACCAACTTCTGAAGTGTTTGAACTATAATAAGGAAATATAATCTCACCTATGCAACTAACTCACTACATCATCGCTTTTCAGTAACATTACAGATCAATATTAAAACAGTGAAGCGGCAAGCACCAGTCCCGTTGCATCTTTGCATGTTCATAGCAGCTTAACTAAGCATTATTTGATCAAATTTGTCGAGGTCAAAGCTCATTTTGATGAAACTCCCGAGCCGATGCCTGCATTGGACCAGCCATGCACATATGGGCCGCGCGTGTTATACCCACCAAGTTGACGGTGCATAGAGCGACCCAAATCTCGTTTCAGTACGTGGCACCTCAACTGTGGTAGCTGCATTGTTGTTCTTTTGGGACGTTTATCCTTGAGACCAAGTCTAGGCAACAATTGAAATTCGTGAAAACGAATCGAAAGTTTTGGACGCTATACACTCCGTGGGGTTGTGACGAATAGAAGAAACGAGGGGGAGGGGATCAGTGATGATCATCCCGCCCCGATTGTCTCCGGCCTAACACGATGATGCACTTGCGGTTAAAGAATGCGCATGTGTGTGTGTGTAACTGACAGTATTGTCATTGGGCAACTAGTCTCCAACAAATGAGTCATTTTGTTCCTGTTCAGGGAGCAGAAGTGAAGTTGACAAAAACAGTCCAACAGACATGTTGACCTGGACGGTTACTTCAGTAACGGATAACACTGACATGGGCCACATTACACATGCCGGTGATACTGATGGCATCCATAGTAAACAATTTAGCATGGGTAGACTTTTACAGATGGGAAATTAGGCGTGAAACTAAAGTCATCCAAATTTTGCAGCAGAAACAGCAACAGTCAATTTTAGTATATCAAGGAGACAATTTAACAAAAGTAGTCGAATTATCAGCAACTTATTTTGGTTCCGGGAGTATTTAAATCAATGACTAAAGTCGAACGAATCATAGTACACGGGAATTTATTTACGATACAGAAAGCGGTATAGACGATTTGAAGATGTTTTCCTGATTGACGGTATATTTTTAGATGACCAATCCAGAGTCCGTTCACTCATTCAGAAGCTATGATCCCTGAATACACTCCGTGCAAACAACTGAGGTCTATGGGGACAGAAACACTACGAAGATGCTCACCCAAAGTCCATTAGCCCTGGACACCTGTCAGATCGAGTTTATGCACACTGAAATCGCCATATCACAAACTCGCTCGATGGTTGGTGGTCATCCTAAATCCGATCCGCAGGTCTTTAACACCTCATCGTTCAACAGATTCTTTTTAACTCTTGTGATGTGACAGTACCCTTACAGAAAATTTATCCGATAGATGAGGATTCCCTTTACACCAATGTTCACGGGACAGTTGATGTTTTTTGGGATTACATTTCTTCAGGCAATTTTTCCCTTGTTATTCCTTTTGAAGCCGGGAGAATTCATATTTTTGTGTACTGAATATATTCGTTTTAATTCGAAGAAACCAAAAACAAACAGATTGGTGGTGTAGCTATGGGTAGTGCATTGGGCTCCATTGTAGCAGACGTTATTTTTAGGAAAGACTGAAGAAAACTGGCAGCTTTGTACAAACGTTATGTGGACGATTTTTGATTTTTACGGAGCGTGAACATTCAGAATTCCTTTTGCAACAGTTTAACGCTGTCCAGTCATATCCTTCCCATAAAGATCAAACCGACGATTCCTAGGCATTTTCGGACATCAGAATTACGAGGCGCTTAGATGGTACATTACACTGTTCTATTCACCAAAAAGTCACATGAAGTGGTCATTTATCTAGGTTCTCGCCTGTGACTCGATGGTACGTCTGTTTCCCAGACACATTATGAGGAGAATAAACGCAGTCAATCTCCTTGATGTCGATTTTATTGGTCATTTTTGTCACGACCACGTTTGCGGTCGGGAGCTTAGTCTGGTTGACGGGAATGGAATTTAGTTGATCCACGGACTCTGTTGCACTAAAGCAGCTGTACAAACAGGTGAACGGTAATCGCGATTTGATAATCGCCGTCACACTGATGCGCCTGTGAGAGCGGTTGAACGAAAATCACAGACGAAAGTGGACAGACCACTGGTCAAAGGTTATTGTATTCTGTGTTTGAGCGATGCACTTTTAATTCGTGAATCACGTCACTTAAGTCATCAGTAATACCGATGGCACTCAAGCCGACCATAACGAATGTATTCATCGGTTTTCAGTATACATGGGCAACAATAAAAACGGAAGAACGAACAAACAGAGGTTTACAGACATAAGGATACACATTTTCACCGGAAACGCATGAAAAGATGGCCTATTGAACAATGGGAGCTTGGAATATTGAAAAGAAGTCAATACACTACTCCCCACCAGATGTTTCACTTTTTTCGATTTTGGTTTATACTGAATGTTAGATTTGGTAACGTATTAGGCATTGGATCCCGTACCTGGTCTGAATCGCCAACTGTGACCTAATTTTGTGACGTCATTGTAACCAAAATCGTTGCAGATCATGATGGACTCCATGTACTCCAGTTAGTGGTCACCCTTACATTGCAACTGAATGGGACAATATTTAGAATAGAAATTCGGTAATTCGGCTAGGAAAATAGCTCAAAGGTAGTGTAAGCAGTTTCAGGATAAATAGGAACTTAAAAGCGAAAAAGCGTAGAGTCCAAGTGCATTGGTCTAAGATCAGGCTTAGGGCTTCAAAAAAGATTGAAAGTTCTTCGATATAAAAAGACTACATGATACTGTCTATTTTTATTACACTTAAAATAAACAGTGGCCGAAAAATATGAATGGGACATGGCGTAATTTTCATCGATCCTGTTTATTTTGTCACTAATCGATTGTCACTAATTGATTTTTCATACTAGTTAAAAGCGTATACTTCTGACTAACATGCTATGTAGCCGTTTCTAGAGTTCACCCACTTTCTCGAATTCCAGATGGGTGCAACATAGCAAAACATTTACTGTATTCCTAAAGAAAAACGTTACTACGAAATGGTTACCCCGAAAGATTCATTGATATCCATTGTGAATAATCACTAACTCTTCCCCAAAAGGCCGTTTATGTCAAACTATCTTGTAAGGGCGATCACCTTCTGAACGATGTGCATCAAAAGTTAAGGTCCACCTTGAAGCGCACCTTCGAAGCTGCTCAAATTCGATTCATTGGACAAATGTAAACATAATTAGCAACTCAGTTATGGCAGATACTGTTCACCTGCAGCTGCGGTGACACATACATAGGCAGAACCAACCGTTAATTATCATAATTTTTAAAATTCTTTTTAATAATGGATGGCCGAACACATCCCAATGTGGTTCGTAATCTTGAATACGCAACCCACACTCGATAGTTAGGCGGTTACACGGAACCCGGGGACATCTATTGCAAAACAGGCGACAACCAAACACCTAATTCATCCCGCTTTCTCTTTCCAACTCACATTACGTAACCGCAATGCATAACTGTCGGCAATTAGTGAGGTGTTGCTAATCAAGTTACATCATCCCGTGTTGTGCACCCAAAGGATGTTGACGCAATCAGTTCACTTACAGTGGAACTGACCTCGTGTTTTTAATCCATATATACCTTGCCTATCTGTACGCGTCCGTTCACTGGGATAAATCCAACCCAATGTGCTACATGTGTGCCTATTTCCTTCACAACAGCGAATGAGGAGATGAAACGAAATGTTAACATCTCGCAATGTGTCTTCTTTCGGTCTGGATATTTGACAACGCAATTTTATCGTACCAGAGCATCCGCATGATTGATCGTTAAAGGAGACTATTCAAATTGAGCTTTACCTTCGGTGGAAGATAAGCACTCATCAACGTTTTATAAACCTGTAGCAAAACCAGATGAATAAATAGACTCTTACGCTGGTCGAATAAGTAAACAGTGTCAACACTGCACGGCAAGAAGCCACGGGCAATTACTTCAAATCAAGAATGTTTGCAGCTGACTTAAGACAGAACTATGTTTAAGACTGCTTGCAAAATTTAATTCAATCCCAGGGAGTCCGCTGAATCCCGTCAATCCAGAGAAATCCCGAGAGTACAGAGCCTTGTTTATGACCCATAATCAAATGGCCAAGCAGAACGCTTCGCGAACACCTTGAGAACGATATTTGAAAACTTCCAAAGGGGGAGGAACCATACTAAAGACACGTATTAACTCTCGACTATCATCGTTTAGCCCTTAATGCATCAGTCCCCAGCAACGTCTCATCACCAGCAGAAGCAACCTAGGGAGCAGCAAACGCATACAGTTAGGTGTTTCGGTTACACAAGGTAGTCAGAACGACCAAACGAGCGGGCGCTGCAACAGACGTGTTAACCATATCAGGAAGTGTAATAAAGCAGATAGAGCAGAAGAGCAGAGCAGAATTAGTTCTGGATGCATTTGAATTGCCGATGATAGCGGATCAGAAAACATTACCTCAAAAACCCAATTTTCCATGAACGGAGACGCTCGATGTATTTTTGCACACCCCACCCCCACCCCCCTCCACAGAAAGACTTTCCATCAATCCCTATAAGAAATTTTGAGTCAATCTTCATTCCTGAAGAGAGGTGAACGGACGAGCAGCTCAGACCATACACATTTACAGAAACCAATATAAACGTATTCATGAGTCACAGATTATTCCACAAGTGGCATTTACTTACTGTTGTGCTGATGTATACTCATCGATCTATGTTGTTACATATAGCCGTAAGTTCGTTAAGCTTATTCATTCAGCAAACGAAACACTCAGCGAGCAGCTGTTCTATCTCCAAGCTTCTTAGTCACAGAATGGATCGTGGATTCGGCTGGATTCCTACGACAGTTTTCCTGGATGTAATGTGACCACTGTCTTGTAAACACTGCAAAAAGGTAGGTCGAGATTTTCTGTTCTTCGGACATCCTAAAGCTTCATAGTGATGAAAAGGTGATTTCGTTGAAGACCCATTCTGGGTTTGTAACTCACTTTACCGGATGGACCGAACGAATATGTAATCAACTCCTGATTCTAGTTGATAGTCAAACAAAATACGTATGTAATATGACCCTGTACTTGGAGGCAGTTATTCACAAGGCGGACGGTTGCTTGCTGGGGACGTAGAGTTGAGACATAAAAATGGTTGTTTAGATAAAGGGATTTGTTGTTATCTCAGAAAACTTACTTACAGATTCAAGTTTGTCCCACCCAGAAAACGGTGGAGTTGACTGAATTCCACCCATGGAACAAAGTTCTTGGCTTCGAATATATTGATGACATCGCCTCGGTAACTCCCTAAAGGTTGAATACGATGCACAAGCAGTTCAGTTTGCTTTGGATCTCTTTTTTGATCGATTTATCCAGCTATGGTAGGGTTCACATCACCCGGGTTAGTGATGTTCTGTTTTGAGGTTAAGAGATCTAGCCTTCACGCAGAGGATACGAACTGGCTAACTGTATTCGAACATCGATGTCTTCGAGGCATTGATCCTGTTTGGTGGGAACACTGGGTGAGTAACGACAAGGTTCTTTGTCGTGTATTAGGTGCTGAGAGTCGTTTTCTAAAAGTAATCCCCTACACCACCTCCGATAGCTTGGTCATGTTTTTCATATACGTGCCCTTCGTCTAGTTATTCGTGGTATATTTGCACGTGCTGGGCAAGGCTAGAAGAAGCATTGTGGCGATCAGACCTGGTGTAGACGTATGCATAAGTTAGCTCCAGCGTTGGATTCGGATGATTAAGGCTCAAAAGATTATAACTGCCGCTGATGAGAGGTGCTGGGAAATGTGGTTCAGGATAGACGTCATTGGTGCGAATGTTGCACGGTTCACCTAATGAAATCTCTTGCCCAGAAAAAGACAAAGAACCGCAAAATACCGAAGTGTACAGTGAAACAAGAAAGAGAAATAGTGACGTCACGCTTGTTCACAATATATATA